CCGAGTGTTGCTTTAAACAACTACAAACAAACACATTACATCAACCAGTGACATCAGTTTGATCCAGTAACAATCAGCTTTGATTGTTCCTCAAACCATGCAGCAATAAGTCATATCATGGCGATCGATCTTTTGCAAAGGCTGGTCCAACGCTTTGGAACAAAATTCCAATCGACATCAATAGTGCCATTCAAGTGAATTCAAGGGACTGTTAAAACCCATCGGTTCCAATCCACTCACATCACTCTCTGCACTACCAGACACATGCAAAAGCGCCTCTGAGCAGGTCCAATCTCATCTTCCCGAGGCAAGAGAGTTAACTGACTTTAAAAGTTAACCCTTGCCGAACTAGGCTGGAATTCCTGGGCTCGATCGTAGCGCCACCAGTGTCTATTACGAGTTATGTCCCCTCTATACCTTTCCTATAGACCCATCAGATTCCACACCTCGTATCACTTGCATTCGCTTTAAAAAAAATGGCGCCGCCCAGTCAAGACGATTTGATCGATAATAAAGATCTATATTGTAATAAAACGGATCTTACATCGCGAAAGTGCATCAGTTCAAGTGAGTACCTTGACTAAACACATGAAAAGATTTGGAAAATATCTGTTGACACCGAGTTGGTGGTGCACATGCTTTGCAAATCCTGCAATCAACCGAAATCTGCATGGCAGTTTACGAACCGGATTTCGATTTCATTGCGCGATTTTGATTGGACTGCGCATGGACTCGTTAGTCTAGCCAAAATGTAACTCCATAATACCAGGCCAGTTCGGCAAGGAAGGAAACTGGACTTTTATAGTCAGTTAACTCCCTTGCCTCGGGAAGATGGTCCAATCTGGAAATTGGCGGTATATAAATTTGTTATTCTACTTTGAGCAGATGTGAAGCATCTCATGACCAACATTACATCCTTGATGTCTAAATGTGGTTAATGTGTATATGTAACCAGTGCGAATGTTAAACATCGTGATATTTATGTACAATCAATTTTGGTTTTTGCTAGCTGTAGTAACCGTAATCGAAGTGCTGCTCCTAATAAACGATTTACAGTATAGCCACATATCAATAAATATCAAAGACCGCCTCCGTGGTCTAGTGTTAGAGCGTCCGCCCGGAGAGCGGAAGGTTCGACGTTCGATCCCCGGCCGCGTCATACCAAAAGACATTTTAAAAGATGGTACTTGTTACTCAGTCTGGCGCTCGGCATTAAGGGACTAAAACAAGGACTGGTCGGCTCGGAGTCAGTATACTGTGTCTGAGTGGGGTATTCATGTTAAAACTGCGGCATGGTATATCAGTGTGCTAGCACCATAAATCGGCATCAATCCGTACCAGTACAAGCAGCCACACACACACACACACACACACACACACACACACACGTACATGCACGTCGCTATATAAGTGCAATAATCTTGAGCGCGACGTTAAACTCCATTTCACCTCACCTCAATATCAAAATTGCATAAGAGCACAGAGATACGGTTACCGCAGATAGAATTCTTCCGGTTCTAAAAGCTTCATGCATGTTCTACATGATGTTGGGGCTAATGTCATACCCTGGGCCCCTTTCCACGAAGCGATTGTAACTCTCATACTTTAACATAATGTAGCGCTAAAATCTCTTTGTGAAACGGGGCGCAGGTGTTCGCGCATGCTGTTAAATTCAACTACAGCACATACTTAGTGACCTCCGTGAAGATGGAAATCACACGGATCCACCACCAGATGGAACAGGTTCATGAAATGTGCTCAATGCATGGCCATTAATACATGTTATGGCCAGACACTACACAGACCTGTCGTCACTTGCATGTACATGAAAGGGAGCATCCATTTGATTTCGAGCGTGTGTGTGTGTGTGTATGTGTGTGTGTGCGTGTGTGCGTGCGTGCGTGCGTGTGCGTGTGAACTGACCAGAATAACTTGACCCCTCCTACCCAAATTCTACAGAGGCATATGTGACATGGCAAAACTATCATTTATGAAGGATCGACCGATTAATAAATACTACACATTGTGCTGTACAGACCTACACGGCATGCTGTGACAACGCACTTTATTATCGAAACAGCTGAAGAAATGCATGTTTAGCCTAGTTTACATAATACACTTGTTTTTTTATACAGTTGTGAGTGAGTGAGTGAGTTTGGTTTAACGCCGCTTTTAACAGTATTCCAGTTATATCACGGCGTGTCAGCTTAATTTGGGAGGAAAGCCCGAAGTGATGCAGGTCTCAGACGTTAACCACTTCGGTGAAACCCACGAGCACGGGTATGGTGCTGACAAACCTAGAAACATAATCGGGGCGAACCGGGATTCGAACCCACAATCATAGGTTTCTGGCGTGCCCAAGGGACGCAACTCTGCACGGCGAATCGCGGCGCCTTAGACGACTGGGCCACCCGTGTCCCCTATACAGTTGTGAGGGAGAGGTTGGGGAAGCCTGCCACACATAAACATTAATTTACAGCCATGTTTACCTCCTGTATATATGTATACTGAGCACCATCAAACAGTATTCATTTTCACTAATAACACAAAACATTTGACGTTTGGGTATTTTCCATCATTTTCACAACTGCCAACAAACTATTCATTTGGGGCATTTTCTTGAACATTTACAAAATCTCTCATTGGTACAATGTGTGGAGGCAATTCATCCGACGTGATATTGCTGGCGTACTTTTAAAACGGCGTAAAACTCACTCACTCGCTGTTGTGTCATGCTATAGCGCTATCAGGTGAGGTGAGGTGAAATTGGGTTTAACGTAAGATTATTGCACTTATATAGCGACGTGCATGCACGTGTTTGCGTGGCTGCTTGTACTAGTCCGGACTGATGCCGATTTATAGTGCTAGCTCACTAAAATACCATGCCGCAGTTTAACATGAATACCCCACTCAGACACAGTATACTGACTCCGAGCCGACCAGTCCTTGTTTTAGCCACTTTATACGGAGCGAGACAGGGTAACAATAAGTACCATCTTTTAACGTCTTTTGGATCGAACCCCGGACCTTCCGCTCTCCGGGCGGACGCTCTACCACAAGACCACGGAGGCGGCCTATAGCGCTATCAACAGTTATAGGCACATAAATGTGTTAATCTCGGTGACAACGTAGGTGGAAGATAACCTACACATCAAATACCAATCAAACACAGCCCTGGACGATGTGACACGTCCCCTTAAAGCTGATAAAATCCCGATAAGACAGCTCCCAACATCGAAACCCTAGGGATTCATCCGGCCTCTGTCACCATAGGGATACACAATTGTCAGAGATTTCAGAGGGAGTGCCTCATTGATATTAGTTTCTTTAGTTTGAAACCTGAACAAAAAACAACGAATTTCACATTAGTCACTGATACATATAACGCAGAACTAGTTTTGGAGAGTTTGTATTTGTATAAAGGAAGAAATATGCAACTGGTGAATTAATATACAAGCTAACACAATTAACAGCTTCGCAGATGTAGGAACGGTCCCTTCACTCAGCTGTTCAAAAGTACTTGTACATCATCTATTTCAAATACAAATTTTATTGGGTCGCGTTTGGAATGATCGTGTTCGAGCAGCAAGATTGATTCCCAGTTTGCGTTTAAGGTGAGTAATATAGACAAGCATATTTGCTATTGTGAAATGTGACTAATACTATTTTGTTTTAGGTAAAAAAAATTCATGCATATAAAACCACATGAAAAGTGATAGTCGACTGTTCGTCTGCTATAATTTTTTACATTTAAAATAGTTTTTCATTTTGAAATCTGAATTGTGAATCTGAAACAATTTGTGAAATCTTTCTTACAGGATTACATTTTACTTTATTTTAATTTAAATACAAGCAGCATAGATATACGTGTTTTTTAGCAAAGGAGACTAGAATTGTATGATTATTATCTGTGTGAGCATTTACGTGCATCTGTGTGAGCATTTACGTGTATCTGATTGAACATTTACGTGTATCTGAGTGAGCATTTACGTGTATCTGTGTGAGCATTTACGTGTATCTGTGTGAACATTTACGTGCATCTGAGTGATCATTTACGTGTATCTGAGTGAACATTTACGTGTATCTGAGTGAACATTTACGTGTATCTGTGTGAACATTTACGTGCATCAGTGTGAGCATTTACGTGCATCTGTGTGAACATTTACGTGCACCCGTGTGCATATTTACGTGCATCTGCGTGAGCAAGGGTTGCTACGTTACTACGTAACATAAAAAGTCAAGTGAATACACTTTAAAGTTGTTACACACAAAAAATAAAGTTTTAAAAGAAATGTACTGTTGTGTGTTATTCTTTCAGTCGCAGTCGGTTTGTTGTAGTTATTCGTTTCACGGGGCTGCTAATGAAACATTTTTATTCAGAATTTAATTAGTGGGGACATATTCCCAAAAGCCTCTTTCGGAAATCTGCACTTTAGTCATTTATGGTAACGATCGAGTTTAGATGAGACGATGGCCATAAAAAATAGATTCCCGATGAGATAATTACAATTTCACTCATCTGACCGAAAGTCTCAATACACTGCAACCATCGTTTAGCACGGATATTCATTATCATAAACACCCGTGGTTTACCTATTTCACTACGTCAATGTGGATAAAATCACACAAACGGGTAGAGTGCTTGCTAAAATATTTTAGTGGCTGTCAACAGCAAATAATTTGAATTTGCTCCCTTTGAAGCACTCGGCGTATATAAAAACTTTTTTGATTAGTCAATCGGCGAATGTATCGTGTCATCTGATTGGTGACTTCTGGGAATACTAATATGTCTTATGGCAGAATGAAGACAGGTAAACAAGTCTTTATTTTGTTTTGATAAGGCCGCTAGGTGCTGTGAGGACGTTATATCACACTTTAGACCGACAGACATATGAGCACAATGTAGTCGTTATACATATTTTAATATTTTGCTGCAGTTTTCCAATAATGTTGATTACAGGTGCGTGTTGACATATCGTGTCGGCCATTGCGTTTGTGACACTGACAGGTCCAGCCAAGTCCGAATCTTGCACAATGAACTGCTGATCGGCAAAACATGTGGAACTCATTTTGTTTGCTCATGGTATTTCACACGATAAGACGCTTTCTGAAAGCTGTTTAAATGTAAGTTTTTAGGTAACGTGTATAATATTAACCTTTAAAATTATTTTTCATGTCTAAATCGCTAAATGAATATTGAAATAAGGGGTATAAATTGCATAGTAGAATCATCAAAATCTAAATAGATTTTATTGGTTACATGTGTTTTACAAAAACATGTAGAAACAATTGAACTCAACATGATCAAGTACCTGTGAGCAACTAGTTGTGCTTGAAAGTGGCGACTTAATGAGCAGGTGGTCAGGTTTGGTGACCTGGATGGCTAGTTATAGTACCCACCTACATGGCTCGTCGCTCACAATATCACTCACTGGATTCCCTGGTCCAGACTCAAATATTTACATGATGCCATAATATAGCTGTAATAATGCTGAGAACAGTGTAAAACAAACACATTCACACTCACACTAACACCATGCTATGGTGGCAGTTGTTGTGAAGGGGTAATTATGATTCTTTTTCTTGTTAGTTACTACAGCATATTTTCACAGGGATGGATATTAATGCTCGCCCATTGGCCAGTGCTAATAAAATTATAATTCTTGGGCCTGTAAGTTTTTTGACACTTTCTGTAAATTGTATATCGTCTTCTTGATCCCTGGATACTACTCATGAATCATGTAATTTTGATGAAAAAATATTGAGGGGGATGAGGTCTTGTGAATGGTTAACGCAAAGAAAGTTATATGTCGATCATCTCTGTAGAATGACAACCGGCCACCATTTTATGATGTAGTGTACAGCAACATCTTTATTTGCCCATAAATCACGACGAAATGAGGCAAATGGAAGCCAAGATTTAATCTCAAAGTGCAGGAAAAGGCATTTCATCAGTTAGGAGTTCTAAAATTTTCCGACCCCCTCTGCTACACGACCACAAGTTCAGCCACTTCGCTGCCTCCACCATTTAGTTGTAGGCCAGTTAGTTTGGGGAAGGGCCGGTAACTTTTGAACGGAGCAAGCCCTGCTGGCTACATACAGATTTGTTGTTAAATCTAACCCTGTACAAGTACTTGAACAAGAAGTGACATTTTCTTTAGTTTAAGTGGAAATGGATGTAAGCAGTGGCGGATCCAGAGAGGGGTTTCTGGGGGTGGCCACCACCCTCTTATTTATCCCCTTTGGCATATGATGTGGGGGATACAGTCATCATCTGGCCTGACTGTCCGTCTGTCTGTCTGTTTGTATTTTGTTTCCAGAGCATAACTTGAAAACCATGAAAGATTTTCATCCTGACTTCAGTGACTTGATACATGTATTAACCAGGATCTGAAGTGGTGCCTTTTGCTATTGTGGGGGCCGGGGGGATTTGTCATCTTCTGATGACTCTTGTTTACATCTGATGACATTTTCTATGTGCATTGCCTACCATGATAACATGTTGATTTGGTGAGCATGGTCAGTAAAGTAGAATTAATAATGTTTTTACATATCGTGTTTATATTTTGAAAATATTTTATTTGAAAATTACACATCTATACCACATATTTACTGAGCTATAGCACAATTCATTGATTTAATCCGTGGTTACTGTACCAAATTGTGGGTACCTTCATGTATTAGCTGTGTCCCCTCCTGTAAACAGGACCTTTGGTACTCGATGCAGTACCCTTCTTTACATTACATACCTTTTCTGCATCTCATAAAGATAGGATATCTTGATTATTGATGTATATTGTTGGGACTAAGGACATAACTAAGTATGTAACTATTTAACATGTTTAACTGATTATTGAGTGAGTGAGTTGGGTTTAACGCCGCTTTTAACAGTATTCCAGTTATCATGGTTATATCGCGGCGTGTCAGTTTAATGTGGGAGGAAAGCCCAAAGTGATGCAGGTCTCAGACGTTTACCACTTCGTTGAAACCCACGAGCACGGGTATGTCGCTGACAAACCTAGAAACATAATCGGGGCGAACCAGGATTCGAACCCACAATCATAGGTTTCTGGCATGCCCAAGGGACGCAAGTCTGCACAGCGGATTAATGAATGAAGATTAAGGGGGTCCCTAGATGAAAATACCACCAGAGCAAACCTCAAGGGCTGCATGGCCCCCTTAATTTCAAACACTGAATTCCTGTGAACAATGTTGTTTTTCAGGCAGTTAAGTGCAGTGCTTTTAGGCCTCCTGTGTCCATGATGTAGAAGGGCACTGACAAGCAGGCCCTTATCCGTCCATTCCGTCCGTCATCTGATAATATGCCGAGCATGCAGGAGAAGAGGAGAAGGAGCCCACCAGATCCAGATCAGTAAGTTTTCTCGGGGAAATAGTTTACCGTATTTCCTTGATTAAACGCCAGGACTCAAATACATGCTGGATCTTAATTAAATTCTGGGCCTTGATAAACTGCTGGGTAGTTTTTAGATGAGGAATACCTGTCATTATTATGTTTGCAATTAAACACCAGGGTAAAGAGTGTCTGAAAGAAATATATGCCAAGGCATTAAATCAAGAAATATGGTAGTTTGTGATGGCCAATCATTTCTGCACCCTATTCAAATAAGAATCCTCATGCTTGAACTATAATAGTTCAGGGACAAACTATACTTTGTTGCACTACACATGGGGGTAGAGCAAACTTTATTTCTTGAGTATAGTGATCTGATTTACAGTTATATACAGCCATGCCACTGAAATGTGTCAAGGAGTCCTTGCTAGGTTATGTGTGCAGATCTTGAAAATGGAGTTTTGAAACATGAGCTGGACGATAACTGATAGAAGACTTCTTTTGTGTCCATGTTGTCAAATATGTCTATATGAATGGTAGAAATGATAATGATTGGTCAGGCTTCGTTCTAAATTAGACTCCATGTGTTTTAGTTATGTTATTTGCACTTCCACCATGTTCACATGTAACAATTATAATTTTTGGTTCAAACCTTTGAGTGTCTTATCCCTCCCACCCACCCAAAAGAATGAAAACAAAAGTAGTAGAATTGTACTTTACCATGTTTACCATGAAAGTGTTATCCCAAATTAACTTTATTTACCTTTGACCACTTTCTAAAAGGCATTGTGTACTTCACATGGTCACTTGTTGAGTAGTAAATATTAGTTGTGTTGCAAGTAAATTTAGCTCAAGCCTTGTTCCGTATCTTCCAGAGAGCCCAAGGATCTGTGTCGACTCCTTAGTCTGATCTCCACTCCAGCCAGCAAACAACAGGTGGGGACAGCTTGGTGGGCACTGCCGCCTACCTGTATAATAGTGTATATCTGATATACTTGTCAACCACCCCCTGTACTTCACTTGCTTGATAACGATGTTCGAACCTACACCGAAACGTCACTCCTAATTGTAGTAAAGAAGTTGTTCATCCATATATCTTATCCTTTATTAGTACTCCAACTTCTAAATGCCTCTGGGCAGTCGGGTAGCATAGTGGTTAAAGCGTTCGCTCGTCACGCAGAGGACCTGGGTTCGAATCCCGACATGGGTACAATGTGTGAAGCCCATTTCTACGGTCCCCCGCTGTGATATTGCTGGAATATTGCTAAAAGCCGCGTAAAACTAAACTCACTCACTCACACTCACTCACTCTAAATGCCTCTAAAAGAAGTAATCAGTGTCTTGTTGCAATATGTATCATGATCTTCATTTGTGTGACCATCACTCAAAGTAGTTTCATTAGGAAAAGAAATTTTGTACTAGGATTGTGAGATGGAGAAGGTGACATCAGTCTTGAAACAAGCCTGTGGTCCAGGGTATTTTGTCATAATAATGTACAGATATGATAAGCTGGATAATCAAGGATGATCCTTCAAACTTATTTTATTATGTTAATTGAATGTTGAACATTATGAAAGAAATCACCTGAGAATGTTTTTTGTTAATTTTCTTAGCTTCCGTCCTTAAGCTATGAGTCTTGTGACCCTGGTTCTGGGGGAGACAAGTGGCCACGCCCACAGCCTAAGTCAGGGTCTCATCAGCACCAGTCTACTGAGGCAGTGGCACTGGAGACATTCAGGTACTCTCTCTTGTTACCATGGTTTCTGATGTCTTAGCATGCTTATAGCATGGCACAATGTTGAAGGTTATTATGATCACTACTCACTAGTATGCTGAAAGTTCTTTGTTTATCATGTGTTTACCTTGATGTGTAAGCTGGTCTTTAACTATGAATATCAGATAGCTATGCGATAAATCGCAAAGAACAATTGAACAAAGCGTGGTTTAGTTATTAAGTCATTGTTCCCTGCTGGCATGAGACATAAATGTCAGATGAAAGATAAGAATATATACAGTTTTGCAGTGTTTGTTGTTTTATTGCAGTCAGCGATATCAGAATGAGCGCCACTTCAGTCACCACTCACAACATGCAAAGTTTACAGAGATCTTCTCATCTCTCACCAAACACAGGCTGTGTTGTAGGTAAGTCGGCTCTGGAGTTCATTTCAGATTGCTCCTGTGGGGGTTCTGATGAAGAATAGGTCCCATGTATTGTGGGATCATGCTTTGGGTGTCAGGCCGACTGTGAGATTATGCTTTGGGTGTCAGGCTGATTGTGAGATTATGCTTTGGGTGGTCAGGCTGATTGTGAGATTATGTTTTGGGTGTCAGGCCGATTGTGAGATTATGCTTTGGGTGTCAGGCCGATTGTGAGATCATGCTTTGGGTGTCAGGCCGATTGTGAGATCATGCTTTGGGTGTCAGGATGACTGTGAGATTATGCTTTGGGTGGTCAGGATGATTGTGAGATCATGCTTTGGGTGTCAGGCCGATTGTGAGATCATGCTTTGGGTGTCAGGCCGATTGTGAGATTATGCTTTGGGTGTCAGGCCAATTGTGAGATCATGCTTTGGGTGTCAGGCCGATTGTGAGATCATGCTTTGGGTGTCAGGGCGATTGTGAGATCATGTTTTGGGTGTCAGGCCGATTGTGAGATTATGTTTTGGGTGTCAGGCCGATTGTGAGATTATGCTTTGGGTGTCAGGCCGATTGTGAGATCATGCTTTGGGTGTCAGGATGATTGTGAGATCATGCTTTGGGTGTCAGGCCGATTGTGAGATCATGCTTTGGGTGTCAGGATGATTGTGAGATTATGCTTTGGGTGTCAGGCCGATTGTGAGATCATGCTTTGGGTGTCAGGATGATTGTGAGATCATGCTTTGGGTGTCAGGATGATTGTGAAATAATGCTTTGGGTGTCAGGATGATTGTGGGATCATGCATTGGATGGTCAGCCTCACTGACTAACCCTGACCTGGCTGATTGTGGGATCATGCATTGGGTGTCAGGCTGATTGTCGGATCATGCTTTGGGTGGTCAGGCTCACTAACAGTTTCACTTTCATCATGTTCAGTCAAGTGTTTGTCTGGTACACATTCGATTGTTTCACAGCACCCCTGTGTAAGATGTATCAATATACCCCCATCAGAATTGCGGAATGGTCCACATTTTCAGTTAAGGGGCTTACATTTCCACTTATTATCTAGTAGAGATTCAACACAACTACTCACAGGAAATGGAGTACTTATCCTTATGCTCCACACAGAAGGAAGTTGCATGTTTGCCACCAGTACAGTGAGTGAGTGAGTAGGGTTTTACACCGCTTTTAGCAATATTCCAGCAATATCACAGCGGGGACACTGGAAAATGGCCTTACACATTGTACCCATGTAGGGAATCGAACCTGGGTCTAAGGCGTGACGAGCAAATGCTTGAACCACAATGCTACCCCACTGCCCCGTCACCAGTACAGGGAAAATGTAACATGTCTTTGAACATGCCTGAAAATAGCAGTTTCAGTTCATTGTCTCCATCCATTTTCATTTCATTTTCAGTGAGTGGACGATTCGAGCTCCTCCTGAAAATGTTCTCCGTGTTTTGATCTGTGTCCGGATCCTGATGCGGGACTCCACATATCAGAAACAGTTTTTTCAGCTAGGAGGCGTCAAGCACTTGTCGGAGGTCAGTTTATTCCTCCTATATGCTATGCTGTAACAAATGAAATAATAAATTTTCAACACGCCTGCCTCACTATCAAACCACCTGCCCCACATACTATTATTGACACCAAGTATATTTACAGACGAAGAAATTGAACGTGCCCTTTTCCTTCATTTGATGATATGTACTATGTACATATTCCTAACAAATATGGCAAACATTCATGCTTCATGTAAATCACACTGGTGGACATTAATGTTCATAAATGCCTTGATCACATTCACAAGATATTAAAATATCTCCCATTGCTACATTTTTTATACATTTGGATGAAAACATGGCTCAGAGGCTGATATTCTGCCCCAAGTCCCAAGCTGAAAATCTAATAATTAATATATTGTAGCCTTAAATACCACAGTCCCATGGATTCCGGGTTAGAAATGGTTCCCAGCAACCTATGCTGGTGGTAAGAGGTGAACAAATGGTTCAGGACTTAGTTGTTGTCTTGTCATCCTACCCAGGCGGTGTGGACCATTGCTCACTGGATTGTCTGGTCCAGACTCGATTATTTACAGAATCAAATAAATCTGAAATAATCTGAATATCATCATGATCATCTAAATACACAACAGATGTTTCCGGGACATATTTATCTAAGTTCCATTGCCCATACTGTCTTAATATTGATTTTAATTGTCTTTATCAAATAAGAGGACTGTCAATAACAAAAATATATGATATACAACTTCCATAAAAATCACTCGACACTGACTCGCGGCATATTTGCCACAGTTATTTGAGCACTGATTAGATTCCTCCTTCCGACAGGGTTGGGTTTTTGGTATTTCCACTCAAAACCATGTAGCAAATCATATTATTATACTAGCAAAAAGATTCATCTACATTTCAAACATAAAACAACAAGATTTATCTTTCGAGCAATTTCTTTCACTACTAAAAGACACAATTTGTTTGGAAAGATATATCGCTAAAAAAATAATCAATTTAACCAATATGCTCAGAAATGGCAAAACTTACATCTCATAATCAAAAGAAGCAGTTGAAACATACTACCTGTTAATTTGTAATCATCTATTTCTTGAAAACAAATATTTATAATCTCCCTCTCAGTTTGAGAAGACGACATATCCTACACAATCCGCCCGTCCTCACCTATGAAAACTATAACTTGTGCTAATACTGTCATATATATATATATATGTTAATACCTACACTTGTAACAATATACATGAGATGGAATAATAAAAAAATGATTTTAAAAGAATCTGCCATATAGCTGGAGTGCGGAGTTAATAAACAATCAATCATTAAGATACCATCCATTATAGAGTCCTGACTCAAAGATCTTGTTATGAAACAGGACCCTTAAAACCACAGTTACTGATTAACAAGTCAATTACTATGGTCCACTATTGCTACGTATGTGTCCCCATTAATGGCCCCCTATTGCTATGTATGTATCTCTATTAATGGTACCCTATTGCTTTGTATGGGTCCCTATTAATGGTCCCCTGTTGCTATGTATGGGTCCCTATCAATGGCCCCCTATTAATGGCCCCCTATTGCTTTGTATGGGTCCCTATTAATGGTCCCCTATTGCTTTGTATGGGTCCCTATTAATGGTCCCCTATTGCTTTGTATGGGCCCCTATTTATGGGCCCCTATTGCTATGTATGGGTCCCTATTAATGGTCCCCTATTGCTTTGTATGGGTCCCTATTAATAGTACCCTATTGCTTTGTACAGTCCCTATTAATGGCCCCCTATTGCTATATATGGGTCCCTATTAATGGTCCCCTATGGCTATGTTTGGGTCCCTATCAATGGCCCCCTATTGCTTTGTATGGGTCCCTATTAATGGTCCCCTATTGCTTTGTATGGGTCCCTATTAATGGTCCCCTATTGCTATGTATGGGTCCCTATTAATGGTCCCCTATTGCTTTGTATGGGTCCCTATTAATGGTCCCATATTGCTTTGTATGGGTCCCTATTAATGGTCCCCTATTGCTTTGTATGGGTCCCTATTGATGGTCCACTTTTGCTATGTATGTGTCACTATTAATGGCCCCCAATTGCTGCGTATGTGTCCCCATTAAAGGACCACTATTGTTATGTGTGTGTCCCTATTAATGGTCCGCTATTGCTACATATGTGTCCTTATTAATGGTCCACTACTGCTATGAATGTTTCCCTATTAATGGTCCACTATTGCTATGTATCCCTATCAATAGTCCCCTGTTGCTGCGTAAGTGTCCCCATTAATGATCCACTTTTGCTGAGTATGGATCCCCATTAATGGTCCACTATTGCTATGTATGTGTCCCTATTAATGGTCCACTATTGCTACATATTGTTCCCCATTATTGGTCCACTATTGCTATGTATTGTTCCCCATTATTGGTCCACTATTGCTATGTATGAGTCCCCATTATTGGTCTACTATTGCTATGTATTGTTCTCCATTATTGGTCTACTATTGCTACATATTGTTCCCCATTAATGGGTATTACTTGGTAGTGCTTTAAACACATTTATCTTTTGTTTGTGCACAGCATTTCAAGAAGGCAACTGACAGCTACCTGAGGTTTGGTGATGAACCCTTTCTGCTGGAGATACTAAAGGAGATGACAAGTAAGTTGCAGTTTGACAATAGAGGTGTAATAACATGCGATATCAGCATATGTGATACTGTTCATAGCTCCTCAAACAATATTTCAACATATCCTTTCTCTGCGGTACCTTATTAACATTTTATACTTCCATAACCGCAAAAATATTTTGAAGTCAATTCACTATAATAAGTTCACAATAATAACTTCACAGACTGCTTATTTAATCAGAAACACAAAACAGCTGTAGACAGCAATATGAAATCAGTGCCATCTTGTTAGGTTCCATAATGGGACACAAGCCACGCCCACTCTATTATCAGCCAATCAGGAAACAGTAGACTGCTTGTGGCTGTGCCCTAATTATATTTCAGTTCATGGAAACAATAATATGGTCCCTTGGTTAGCAGCATGTATGGGTCTCCATTAATAGTCCACTATTGCTATGTATGGGTCCCCATTAATGGTCCCCTATTGCTGCGTATGGGTCCCCATTAATGGTCCACTATTGCTATGTATGTGTCCCCATTAATTGTCCACTATTGCTATGTATGTGTCCCCATTAATATCCACTATTGCTGCGTATGTCCCTCCCACCCTCAGTCACTCACTCACTCACTCATGTAGTAAATTGGTTGTCTTCCCTCCAGATATATTCCAGAAGTTGTCAGCAGTGACAGAACAGAGGGAGTGGCTGGTGGCTTGTGAAGCCCATCAGGTGGGTACTGTTTCCCTGTCTGAAATCTATGCTTCCTGACTGAGTTTAGAATTGATTATTATTCAGTCTTCATGGGAGCAAGACAAACAATCCACAATGTTCTGCAATTTGAAAATTGAAGGATGTGATACAATTCAATATTAGAATTCTGAAATACATTGTTGACTTACTTCATGAATTTAGTCATTATTAACTCAAATGGTTACTACAGTTTGAAAAATACCCCTTTAAGATAATGTACTCGATGCCCATTTGACACTTGTATTATATGTTGTATGTTGCTGATGTCTCCCCAACAGACCCTGGTTCTCCTGCTGGCTGCTAGCGATGTGTTCGTTCTCCATTCCTCTTTGTATGCTCTCATCGGACTTGCTCAGAGGTAAACATTGCGTAAATTAGTAAGCCTACGGTTTGTTTTCATTTGCAGGTGGGCGGATCCAGGGTAGAATAGGTCTTCAGCAACCCATGCCTGCCGTAAAAGGCGACTATGCTTGTCGTAAGAGGCGACTAACGGGATCGGGTGGTCAGGCTCGCTGACTTGGTTGATGCATGTCATCGTATCCCAGTTGCGTGGATCGATGCTCATGATATCAATCACTGGATTGTCTGTTCCAGACTCGATTACTTACATGCCGCTGTCATATAGCTGTAATATTTTTGAGTGCGGCATTAAACAACAAACAAAACAAACAGCAATGTGTTTTTGAACTTATTGAAACAGACACTCCTTGAAGGTCAAGGGGTCCTTGTCATTGGCCTTTTGCTGAAAGTTAAAGGTTTAAGGGTCTCTAAAGTCAAATACTAAGCAAACCTCAAAGACTCCAGGTTCTTCCTTAATTTCAGGGGCGGTGGGGTAGCCTAGTGGTTACAGCATTCACTCGTCACACCTAATACCCGGGTTCGATTCCCTACATGGGTACTATGTGTGAAGCCCATTTCTGGTGTCCCCCACCGTGATATTGCTGGAATATTGCTAAAAGTGGCGTTAAACCTTACTCACTCACTCCTTTGTTTTAAACCGCCTCCGTGGTCTAGTGGTAGAGCGTCCGCCCAGTTCGGTCCCCGGATGCGTCATACCAAAAGATGTTAAAAGATGGTGCTTGTTGTTACCCTGTCTGGCGCACGGCATTAAGGGGCTAAAACAAGGACTGGTCGGCTCGGAGTCAGTATACTGTGTCTGAGTGGGGTATTCATGTTAAAACTGCGGCATGGTATCTCAGTGTGCTAGCACTATAAATCGGCATCAGTCCGGACTGGTACAAGCAGCCACACAAACACACACACGTACATGCACGTCGCTATATAAGTGCAATAATCTTGGACGCGACGTTAAACCCCATTTCACCTCATCACCACTCCTTTGTTTTAAACACTAAATTAAATCATCCATGTTTTAGAATATGTATCGAGGAAAAAGTTAAATACTTTGAATACAGACTAGTAGACATCCTTTTAAGAGATGGATGATACATCATGAAACACTGTATGAGAAGTAGCATTTGTCATAATACTCCTATTAATGAGCTGTGTAAACATGGTAAAGGGAATAACTGGACAGCGAGACTCTCCGACAAAACATTTAGTTTACTTGAGTCAAACTGACAGGACTAAGTGCTTGAGAACTGTTGTCTTTATCAAGGAAAGTTATTGATTCAGTACTGTTGTATCTTAGTGACAGCCATCTTCATGTCTCACAGACTTTTCACATTGAAACCATTTGTATTCCAGCCCGAAGCCAAGGCAGTTGATTGGTGAACTCAGCTACTGTATAGAGATACTTCTACGCTTCATACAGGAGTACGATACTTTGTCAAAAAAGTAAGTCTTGTCAGACATTATAAGCAGCTGATTTTGAAACAGGAACAATATATAAACTTTGATGGGCATTAAGAAGTGGTATACGTTAGAACAAAAACCACCCCGAGTGATACTTCTACAACATATATTACAGCATTAGAAATTGGCACAAGTCCAATAGTTCTTGCCAAACTGCAGAATAGTTAAGGTATCATAAGGACTAGTAGAAATTTGCCATTTTTAAGGGATTTGCTATATGTTATCATTATAAGGATTAGTGGTCTAAGACTGTTAGTTTCTAACGCCTTATTATTTCACTTGAGCTGGATTTCAAATGTATTTTTTCATTACTAAATACATAAAGCTGTTTTCCCTTATATTAATGAAGGATTTCAAGGTAGCTGCATTTCAGTTCTATCTTGGTGTATGTTTCAGACTGGCCGCTAGTCTATTACGGTATCTGTGTGCTGATGCTCAAAGTAGGGACCTGGTCAGGTTGTACGACGGGGTGCCCATCCTGCTCAGGTAATAACATCCGTTTCAGGTGATAATTTTCAATCCAAAATGACAGTTCTCAAAGTTATAATTTACCTCATGTGAAATTTGTGTTTTGTGGATCAAAAAAACAATTAATTGAAACTTGAACATCTCCAATGTGAATTAGTGTCATTCCACTAGTATGAAACCGTTGTGAGAGATCTCAATACACTTGCAGCCAGCTACACTCGGACAACGTGAACCTGTTATGGCATGTGGTGTGGTGTATTGTCCAGCTGTGCTCGGACACGGACACCAGCAGCGACATCCGACAGCTGGGCGGGATCCCTCTGCTCCTCTCTTTGCTACAGTAAGTGGCCATGCAGATCTTCAATTTCACACATGGCACTGATTACAACTTATAAACCTACTGCCACTTTTGCCTATTGTATTGTATAAATCTTTTGTATCTCGGAATAACCTCTTGGGATGCTTTACTTTTTCCTAGTAGGACCTGATGATTTGAGTAGCAGATGGAATTTGGACTTAGTGTTTCAAACATCCAATCTTCTAATATCAAAGATAAGAAATGTAACTTTTTCATTATGGATGACGGGAATCAAATCTGCAACCTCACATATTGTGTTAAGTTTTGTAACCTACTGTTTTCCCACTGGGCCACCGGCGCAGGTGATGAGAGCAAGTGTTCAATTTTAGATGTCATGATTTAGTTTTGTCTATGCTGCACATGTTTCTTTCTCACGCCGCTTTGATCGCAGTCCTTTTATACTGCGACACCCTCTATTGTTTCACTATAAGATATCTCGATGTTTTCTTTTTTTCTGTTATTTCTTGCATTTAGACGGTTTATAAGTAGGATAAAGCACTCCTCCTTACTTATGGTCGAGGAAGCAAGTCCTCGGCAATTGGATATCGGCAATGTAAGACCAAGGATCTAGAACTGGAACTGAGAACCACAGTGTGGAGCATAGTCACTGTTGAAGTCTTGCTTATCTATATGTGTCCTAGACCTTGAGGGGGCACGGGTGGCCCAGTCGTCTAAGGCGCCGTGTTTCGTTGAGCAGAGTTGCGTCCCTTGGACACGCCAGAAACCTATGATTGTGGTTTGAATCCCGGTGTCGCCCCGATTATGTTTCTAGGTTTGTCAGCACCATACCCGTGCTCGTGGGTTTCACCGAAGTGGTAACCATCTGAGACCTGCATCACTTCGGGCTTTCCACCCACATTAAGCTGACACGCCGCGATATAACTGGAATACTGTTAAAAGCGGCGTTAAATTGCATTGCCTTGCATTGACCTTGATTGCATTCTGTATGCTACTTCTCTTATTGGTAGCCATATTGTTTCTACCAGTTCTAGGTAAACAAGTGTCTCAGTATTCACAGTTAGCATGGTTAGCTGCTTTATTAATTCCAGGGGAAGATAATCAAGAAATGTATTGCGTTTCAGTGACCGTACGTTTGTGACGGAGAGATCAGAGGCTAGTGATGGTGCAATGGCAAGTGCTGGAATACATGGCAGAACTCCAGCCATCTTAGATGCCGAGGTAGGTGCAGAAACAGTTAGTCAGTCTATACATAGTATAAGCTAATCGGCAATACCGGTAATTGTTTCATGAAGATTTTCAGTAATGAACACAAGAAACAAGACATTTAAAACAGGTAATTGTACAGTTTTGTTTGACATAAAAACACTTCTGAACAGATAAAGGGAAATATTTGTTTATTGATTTTGAATAACTTTGCGAAAAAATTGTGTTTGTAAAATTAATAATTAGTGCTCCCATCTAGACAACCAGGGACCTACATATTAGATTTTAGTGTAATAATAGGGATTATTATTAGCTGAGCTTGATAGATGAAACAGAATTTTACTAGTGGTATAGTTTGCAGACTATTAGTACTAACTTAGTTGCATATGGAAAAGTACCTACCATTTCAATATATGTCATCCTACCTCACCAGGGTATGGAGGATTATGGCCGGGCGAAGCGTGGTAAGACCAAGGTGAGAATCATGTGCCTTGGTTGTTGGGTGTGTGCTTGGTTGGCTTGCATACAGGGGGATGGTGTGCTGTGATTAATTGCTGTGTGGTTAATGATGAGCTGGGCACATCTCACAGGCCTGTTTCCTGGTGTGTAACATTATATTTTAAGCATTAACTAATTCATTTTCTACCCATGTGCTAACAAACCCTTGAACTTTTTGCATTGGTGACAGATCTTGTGCATTGAGGCGCCTTGTGATATATTCATTCAGAATGACCTTTCACGAACTTTGACCGACCAATTAAATGACTTAACGTAAAGTTGACATTGGCCAATCAGGAAGCAGCTTTCTCGAGCTTTACAGCACTGGTTCCAAACTGGCGATTTCCATTCAAGACTACGCTTTGAAAAATATCCATTCCAAATTTGAAAACTGAACAAAAGAAAATTCTGGAATATCTAACAGATTGCCGAGATTGTATGGCCATACTTCTGGGCTATGGAAAGCATCTTCTGTTCGAAGTGTTTGACTCATTGATGTGAGAGATAGACGATTTGACAGAATTAATCAGTCGTACAGCCCACAAATGTTGTTCGGAGTACCCAATGTTAACCATTTTCTGCATGATTAGAAAACAAAACATTCTGACTGTCACTTTCTGAATCTGGTAATAAGCAACGCTCTGATTGGTCGGATGAAAGGTCGTTCTGATGTGACCCATAATGGGATAGCCTCAGGTCTTTGTTTAGCAATAGCAAGAACTGAGATCTGATTTTAATAAGATTTAAGAACTTCACTTATGGGACTGTAACATTGCTTTTTGCTCTAATTTAACATGTCTTTGTAATTTATGCTACATTTATCAGTGTATTGGAGTGCATGAGATTTTCAAAAAGGAAAATATAATGTACAATTATATTGCCTGTATTTAAGTGATGATATAAGTAAACAGAAGCCTTTGCATCTTGCCCCCAAATGGATGGCCCATTTGTCTAAGACGCCGCAATTCGCTGTGCAGAGTTGCGTCCCTTGGGTATGCCAGAAACCTATGATTGAAGCTTCCTCCCACATTAAGCTGACATGCTGCATAAAGCTGGAATACTGTTAAAAGCGAACTCACTCACTCACTGTGATCTTACAACATTGCACAAGTTAATCACTTTGAAATGTAACCATCCTAGAATGCATGTTAATACAGTTTGTTGCACAAGAATGACAGTTCTTATAATTTCAGTTCTGGTAAGCGATTGGTCCCCAGTAACCCCTAGTTTGAAACTGCTGACTAAAATTATAATCATGTGTGATTGTGCTTCTGTATGGCATGGATCATTGCTCCTGCTCTCAACCATTGGTTTGCCAAGTCCCGATATAATTTAAAGTAATGCATTGTAAAAAATCTGGAAAATTCCAGATTGCGTGTAAAACAAGAAGAAGCTTACGTTTGTCACTGTTTTGTCAGTCTCATTACAAATATTTGGCTCTGATACAACAGACTGCCCAGAGAGCGGAAGGACAGGGATTTGATCCATGGTCGCGTCAAACCAAAAGAAATTTAAAGATGGTATTTGTTGATAGCATGCCTGGCACTCAGCATTCAGGGGCTAAAACAAGGACTGGTCGGCTTGGAGTCAGTATGCTGTGCCTGAGTAGGGAATTCATGTTAAAACTGCGGCATATGGTATCTCAGTGGGCTAGCACTATAAAATCAGCATAAGTCCCGACTAGTACAAGTAGACGTACGTCGCTACAATGCAATAATCTTGAATGCGACCACGTTTCACCTCACCTCACCATTGATACAATACCTTTGCTGAAATATTGTTAAACTATATTAGTAACTTAACAAGGAAAGATAACTCTTTTGAGACATGTACAAGGAAAGATAATCCTTAGCTGTGACCTATAAAAGGAAAGGTAACTCTCAGCTAATTGTTCACATCAACTCAAGTTTTTTTTCATCCACTTGTTATCATTTAACATGTTTAGGGATTTGTATGATTGTAGCCACATCGATAGTGGCAATGGGTTCAATATTTAACCACCCGCTCGCAACATGCCCATTGTTGAACATGCCCATCACTCAATATTTTTGTATTCGAGGTATCTTTTGCAACTCACTTTTCATTTCTCACACATTGTTTTATGATTTTCTTAGTGCGTGATTCTGTTAATTATTCCAATAAATTTCATTGTTTTCCTTTCAGCAAGAGGAAATCATGTACAGGCAGTATGACCTCAAATCAGGTAACTTTTCTTTTATATAACGCCATTGAGATTCCTGTTTAGAATTGGTCCCAGATAACCATGATAACCTATGCTTGTCATAAGAGGCAGCGATAATTAACCGGGAGGTCAGACTTGGCAACTTTGTTGCTAGTGTGTCATTGTACAATGACAGTGTGATATGCTACTTATCAACCACTTGTTTGTCTGGCCCACATTTGATTTAACAGCCTTCTGTGATGTACCTGGACTATTGCTGACTCATTGCGGTGTTATACCATGTATACAGCAAACATACGGAATACATATTTAAAACGTTGAAATTTACAAAACAACTCATTGCCCAGTTTTCTCGCTTAGTTTCTAGTTCTATAATTTGTGCATTGCTCCTGTCCCAGCATGCTGTGCAGCGTTGACGGAGCTGGTCCTGAATGATACCAACGCTCAACAGATTGTACAGGCTAATGGCGTCTACTCCCTTGGCCTGCTCATCCTGCCCCATGAAGCCGGACACAAGGAATCCAAGACGGTCGAAAAATTACAGGTATGTCACACCTTTGTTTTCGAACAGTATGAGACCACATTAATAAATAATTAATAATTTGATCTAACAAAAATAAATTGAGAGGTATTTTTGGGGGTATATTTTGTTATACCTCCGACCTAAAACAGCTTTTTCCTTTCTTTTAATTAAAATTTTTTTACTGAAACATTTGTGCGACCTATAACTAGAAAAAACAACTCAATGGATTCTTTTCAAATTTAGTGAACAGTTTCCTTACTTAAAGGAGAGGTACAGTGCAAAGTTTGATTTTGATTTGTGTATTTTCTATAAAAAAAAGTATGATGTTTATTACGGCTGCAACGAATACGCTGTGAGGCAAATACGATTCATATCATGAATATTGGGTAACGGATACAAATATTAATTCACAATTACAATAACAAGTCGGCAGTTTATGTATTATTTATTATATTCAGTGAAACAATAACATCAAAAATTACTTGACATGGTTTGTTAATTATTAATAAATTATACATTTATATACAGCATTTATCCAGGTACTAGTATCTGCTCAAATGCGACAATGACCTGTGACATCAATACTATCAAATTAAATATTATTAGAGTGTTGTCATTGAAATAAATCTATGCTTATAATATGTTGTTATGGATATTTTTAGGTACAGGGTATGTAAATTTACATGATAGCATATTCATAAATACAGTGGTCCCTCGCTACAACGCTACCAATGGGGTCCAAATAATTGGTGGGCGTTATAGACGATGAGCCGTTTAACCGAGGCCGAGGCGGGGGAGCGCGCTCGGCAAATCTCAAATCATCAATATGTGTTTATCTCACGTCACGTCAAAATAGTATATATGTTTATGGACCTAGATCTACCTGTAATATCATTCATTTATTAAATCTGTCATATTTCACAATGTCTGAAATACGTATTCCATTTCAATTTATCATTTTTTATCGATAAATTAAAAAATTATTCACTATTTCCCGCGATGTTATTGAAAATAAAATTCTCGGACACACATTTCGCCAACGGGTCCGCATCGAACATGTCAAAGAGCAAAATAAAGACGTTTTAAGCAAATCTTTAAATATATTATACAAAGTGATAAATAAAATCAACAAAAATATATCTAAAAGTAATCAAACTTACATCTAAGTTATTATTTCCATTGTTTCGTGCGATCGCGTGTAATGTAAGTCAAATGACATCTCGGCTTTCGTCACCTTGAATTCTCGGCTCGGACACAACGTTTAATACAAAAATATATGCATGAAAAATCTTTGTCACAGCTCGTAACCTAGCACGATACATTCGCGAAGTTCCATATTTTTAATATATATCGTGATTTCCTGCTTAAAACGTTCAGAATAACACGATTTAACAAAAAATCTTTCCCAAACTTCTGAAATTTATCAAACACGAGCTTGGTATCACAGCTATAATTTGATTGGGTGCCTGAGGTCACGTGCTCAAAATTGACCAATCACGAAACTTGTAGCAGATTTCGGCAAGAAAGCGTCATTAGAAACAAATTTTAATCCAATGAAATCGCTTGTTATAACTACGGAAAAAAACCAGGCGATGTTACGAAAGCGCGATTACGAAATGAATGACTGCCGTGTTGTGACAGCAGCTACATGTGTGTGACAGTGTCGCCTTAAATTGGATTGCCCACTAATTAAGAATATAAACTTCGCTTGTGGTTCTCTTTTATTGCATGCATGCGCTTCTAAGATCAAAGGATGTATAGTGTGAAAAGTTAACTAGTTGAACAATCGTATTTCCGGGACTTGCCGCGGATGTTTTCAAACAGATTATTAGAACTCCATTCAGCGATAAACGGTTGCTTATGCAATGAGAAGCGTTATGTGCAAATGAACAACGAACAACAATATAATTATGTCTGTGTTTTAACTCTGAGTAATAAAAGCGTACATAAATTTTGGGAGCCATGCGTTACCGCGCGTAGTAACCGAGGTAGGGCTTTATCGAAGAGCACAATAGCGAGGGATCACTGTATTCGATTCTAGTGGCCATGAATAATGAATTCAATTCATGAATGCTTACGGTTTGATTCACCGAATACGCGAGTGAATCGTAACAGCCCTAATGTTTATCATGTTGTGAACTTGTTTTTACTTCAACATTTGTGCGACCTATAACCTGAAAACTACTTCGTGGATTCTTTTCCAATTGGGGATACAGTTTTTATACCAATAGGAGAGGTGAAGTGCAAATTATGATATCGATAAGTGGATTTTCTGAGAATATATTGCTTTTTACATGTTTTGAACTTAGAAACATGTTGCAGTCAAAGTTGGGGGTATTAGTGAGCCCTGCTCACTTTTTGTCTTGTTTTAATTTAAACAAACTGTTCAAAGCACCTGTGTGCATATAATTCACATGAAGAATGAATGTTTGGTAGGAAATACTTGTATGGTGTATTTCATCAAGCTGAAGTTGAAGGGAACAAAGAAAGCCTACATTGAGGCAAATTGTGTGGTTGTCTGAAACGTGTTAAGCATTGCTAAGAACAATCCTTATCTTTTCCCAGTACCAGCATAAGGCAATGTGTTTGTAGATTCAAATTCCAGATTTGCCCTGTTTTTGATTCTTGGTTTGTCAGCGCAAAGGGTTTCACCAAAGTGGTAATCATCTAGGACCTGCATCACTTCAGGCATTCCTCCCACATTAAGATGACATTAGGGCTGGGACGAGTCCAAATTTACTACCTTGGTGCCCACTGTAGATCTCAAGAGTTAGGTCCAAATGTCCAACTGTGAATAGTTTGACCGTATCCCTGGCAAAACGTATTTTGAATAAAAACGAATAAAAACGATCTGGTCATGCTTAAACTGAAGTTGACTGATGTTTTATCTTTAATCAAACATATAAAGTCAGAAGGAATGCAAACATTAGTCACTTATACAGTGTAACCATGGTGTTCTAGATAATTGTCATTGAACAATATATCACGTGATTTACCATGGGTCCGGGTAGTACTATGGGTACCCGGGTCCTACACAGTACCCTCCCGACCCAAGTACCCGAGTTACCCGTCACAGCCCTAGATGACATGTTTCATTATACAGTGGAAAATAGCTTTAAGCCCCAGTTTGAAAGGATATATTGCATGAGTCACTTTTTTCCCCCAGAGAAATGCATTCCGAGCTCTGAGGTTCCTGTTCAGTATGGAGAGGAATCGTCGTCTGTTCAAGTGTCTGTTCCCGCCGAAACTGTACGAGATATTTATTGATGTTGGACATTACAACAAGGATCTCTCAGCCTACAAGAAACTTGTACACAAGATGAACAGTTTGCCAGTAAGTTATAATATTCCTTGAATGTACGACTTTAATGAATTGATGAAATGCTGTAACACTTGGGACAAAATTTGAGAAAAATGTCAGAAGATACTTACTGTGGATACGATACTATGTATGTTGGGCAAACCTTACCACATGTTAATGTGACACAATTCATGTTAATGTGACACAATTCAAGGTTTATGTGACACAATTCATGTTTATGTGACACAATTCATGTCAATGTGACACAATTCATGTTAATGTGACACAATTCATGTTAATGTGACACAATTCATGTCAATGTGACACAATTCAATGTTTATGTGACAATTCATGTATGTTGGACAAACCTTACCACATGTGTATGTGACACAATTCAATGTTTATGTGACACAATTCATGTTTATGTGACACAATTCAAGGTTTATGTGACAATTCATGTACGTTGGACAAACCTTATGACATGTTTATGTGACACAGTTCATGTTTATGTGACAATTCATGAATATTAGGCAAACCTAATGACATGTTTATGTGACCCAATTCATGTTTGTGTGACAATTCATGTATGTTGGACATGTTGAATGTTTTCTGGGGTTATTTTTTTGTAGAGAAGACTGAACACACAAATTTTTATGATCCCTAATGTTTTGTGTAAGGTATATATACAAAGTGGGCTTGACTTGAAAGAATGAAAACATTATCAGCCCTGTCCTCATTAACATTGCTCTGCCATCATGGTTCGTGAACCTGGACATTGTTACCTAAAGGATTCCCATGGGTACAGGGCGGTCGGGTAGCCTAGTGGTTAAAGCGTTCGCTCGTCATGCCGAAGACCCGGGTTTGATTCCCGACATGGGAATATTGCTTAAAGCGGCCTAAAACCATACTCACTCACTCACTCACTCCAATGGGAACACTGATGTCTGGACCCGTGAAGATTCCGGGGTAGAGTCGGTCTTCAGCAACCCATGTTTGCCGTAAAAGGCAACAAACTGGATCAGGTGGTCTGGCTCGCTGACTTGGTTGATGCATGTCATCGATCCAAATTGCGTGGATCGATGCTCATGATATTAATCACTGGATTGTCTTGTCCAGACTCGATTATTTACAGACCCCCGTCATATAACTGGAATATTGCCTTGTGCGGCGTTAAACAACCAACCAACCAACCAACTGATGTCTTGATGAACAGGTTTTGACTGCACATGTATAGTCAAATAGATGGTCAGCTTTATTTTGAGGTATCATTTTTTATAAAGCCACCATAATAATGTATTATTACAATTAAGGTATTTAGATGGTGTAGTAGCCATGTTCAAGATATTGATCGTCTTATTAAAAACCCGGGTTTGATTCTCAAAATGATATCCCTACATCAGCATAGAAATGTATTTCTGTTCATGCGTGCAAAAGGGCACTCTTATGGACATGTAGGTTCTCATAAATAGTATGGGGGCGGTCAGGTAGCCTTGTGGTTAAAGCGTTTGCTCGTCACGCCGAAGACACAGGTTCGATTCCCGACATGGGTAAAATGTGTGACGCCCATTTCTGGTGTCCCCTGCTGTGATATTGCTGGAATATTGCTAAAAGCGGCGTAAAACCATACTCACTCACTCACTCACTCACTCACTCACTCACTCACTTATGGTATGTTTGTGATTACAGAAAGATCAGATAGAAGAGATCCGAGAAAACATCTGCGATACAAATCAGGAGCGATCAGCCTCCAAATATATCGGTGACTACGCAGTATTTGAGTTGTTGGGGAGCGGAGCTTTTGGGTCGGTGTTCAAGGTCAAGAAGAGGTCTGCCGGACAGACCTTCCTGGCTTTGAAGGAGGTAGGTGTCTGTGCACTTGGTGAGAGGTGAACTTGGTTGGGGTGTAACAGTTAATCCTACTGTTTAAGTGCTGTGATAGTCCATGGTAGGGGTGACTGATGAAGGTATTTGTACTATTACAATAGCATTGCTGTAGTTAGAAACACTATTGCCAAACTAGTGCGACCCATGCTTGTGGTAAGAGGCGACTAACGGGATTGGGTGGTCAGACTCGCTCGCTGTCTTGGTTGATATATGTCATCGTATTCCAGTTATGTAGATAGATGCTCATGATGTCAAGGGGGCCCGGGTGGCCAAGTCATCGAAGGCGCCGCAATTCGCTGTGCAGAGTTGCGTCCCTTGGACACGCCAGAAATTGTGGGTTCGAATCCCGGTTCGCCCCAATTATGGTTCTGGGTTTGTCAGCACCATACCCAGGGTTTCACCGAACTGGTAAACGTCTAAGACCTGCACTACTTCAGGCTTTCCTCCAGCTTACATGCCATGATAAAAATGGAATACTGTTAAAAGTGGCGTTAAACCTAACTCACTCACTCACTCACACTCACACTCACACTCACACTCACACTCACACTCACACTCACACTCACACTCACTCACGATGTCAATCCCTGGATTGTCTAGCCCAGACACAATTATTTACAGGCCGCTGCCCTGTTGCAATTGCTGAGTTCAGGGTTACACAACAAACAAACAAACATATACCCCTATCAGGCAGCTCTGTCTTTTCATCATACTGTGTTTTCTAAATTAAGCATGAAAGTCATGCCATCATAGAGCTGGAATTTGCTGAAAGCGGCGAACAAACAAATAAACAAAAATAAAGCACAAGCCCAGTACACTTGAAGGAAGTATTACATAACAAAGATACATACCTACACATTAAAAGCACATTCTAAATGGAATGGGAGTGTATGCTACAATCTGATTGGTTGGGAAACATTGTTGATACCCAGAAGTCCCACAGACTTTTCTCTGCGTATGAATACATTACTCCTATCAATAGTACCTATCAATACCATATTCGTTATGTGCCATATTTATGTAAGCATAGCAAGCATAGCGGCTAGATCGGTATTCACCAGACCATAACCAAGTGGATCTAGTTCAGTTTTTTCCCCCTTTGTGCTAAGCTGTCCAGTCATTAACATCATGTTTGTTCTGTGCAGCTAAATCTGCAGCACTCGGCGTTCGGGAAGAATGCGAAGGAGAAGGAACAGAGTGTTGGGGAGATCCAGAACGAGCTGAACATCATCCGACAAGAGCTCCGCCACCCAAACATCGTCAGATACTGCAAGACCTTCGTGGAGTGTGAGTAGACTCAGCCGTATGTTGTTGTATAGGAAAACCTCTCCCCTTGAGGAGATATGGCGGGAATTGGCAACTTAGTGTTTGTTTGTTTGTTTTTTAACGCCGCACAAGGCAATATTCCAGCTTTATGATGGCGGTCTGTAAATATTTGAGTCTGGACCAGACAATCCAGTGACTGAGATCATGAGCATTGATCCACACAATTGGGATACGATGACATGCATTAATCAAGTCAGCGAGCCTGACCACCCGATCCCGTTAGTCGCCTTTTACAGCTAGCATGGGTTGCTGAAGACCTATTCTATCCTGGATCTTCACGGGTCGGCAACTTAGTGACTTGACTTAAATGAGGGTGTGTCATTGTACCCAGATAGCATGGATCGTTCCTCACAATTTTCATCACTGCATTGTCTTGAAAATTGTTGAGTGTGGCATTAAGGAACACACACAGAGGACAATATCACTTTCTGTTCTCATAAGGCCACAATAAATCTATTATAGAATTTCATCCAATTTTGTTTTTACTGTGGCGTTTTCATTTTTCTTTGGTATTCCTTGTGCAATACTGCTGAACAAGAACACAGGTCATCATTTGGCAGTTATTCTGTATTCTTGAGAATGTCAGCTGAGCGCCTACATCATGATCTGGTTCTTTGTGCAGGTGATCGACTTTACATTGTCATGGAGCTGATAGAGGGCGCTCCACTCGGGGAACATTTCAACTCACTCAAGGAGAAAAAGGAAAAGTTTCAGGAAACCAGGATTTGGAATATATTTATGCAGGTATGAAAATACAATGTCTTCCCCCTGAATGAGAGTTTTGTGAATGACAATCAAAGGCCATCAACATGATCAAAAGAATAATTGTGTTATGTGTGTGTTTTCTCTTGCAAAGATAAAAATTTCTGAATTGAGGTGGTAAAAAAAGAAGTCGATAATTTTAGAAGCTGACATTTGAATGACTCATGACCCTACGTATCCTTCATTTGGATTGCAGCGTTAGAAATTGGCACTAGTCCTGTAGTCCTGCCAAACTGGCCAATAGTTAGGTATCATGAGGACGAGTAGAAATTTGCCATTTTTAAGGTTATATCTTATCATTGTAAGGACTAGTAGACTTAAACTGTCTGTTTTTACCCCTGAGATTGGGTGATCAAAGTTCGGTCAGTTTGCACCTGATGCAACCTATGGGGAGGCGTCCTCCGATCTTCACAATAAGGGGTCCATTTTGGAGTAAATCATCTAAATTCAATGACTTGCATTTCACCCTCAAATATTTATACCGTTATCATTTTTGAAATTCAGTATTAAAGTCAAGTGTACTTGTCATAAACCAAATATTAAAACTTTCGGTTCACTGATTCAATCCTACAGTAGCATACCTTATGGAATCCAAGACCCTGAGTTCAGTCACTGGGTACAATGTCTGTGGCGGAATCTGATGGTGATGTTGTTGTTGATGTAGATGGTGCTGGCATTGAGATATCTGCACAAGGAGAAGGGAATCGTCCATCGAGACCTCACCCCCAACAACATCATGCTCGGGGAGAATGACAAGGTCACCTTCAGTAAGTTGAAGGAACATGAACTGTTGTACAAACATCGGTCACACAGTGGCAGATCGTTAAGGGCGGGAACTGCCTCCGTGGTCTAGAAGTAGAGCGTCCGCCCGGAGTGCGGAAGGTCCGGGGTTCGATCCCCGGCCGCGTCATACCAAAAGACGTTAAAAGATGGTACTTGTTGTTGCCCTGTCTGGCGCTCGGCATTAAGGGGCTAAAACAAGGACTGGTCGGCTCAGAGTCAGTATACTGTGTCTGAGTGAGGTATTCATGTTAAACTGCGGCATGGTATCTCAGTGTGCTAGCACTACTATAAATCGGTAGTACAAGCACACACACACACGTGCATGCACGTCGCTATATAAGTGCAATAATCTTGCACGCGACGTTAAACCCAATTTCACCGCACCTCACCATAAGGGCAGGGTTGACTTGGAATTTTCTAACACGGGCCCTTTATGTGAAAATTTCAAATATTCCAGAGGTACACCCATACAGTACAATGTTAAAATGCCCCATTGTATTTGAAAATGTGGGCCTTTCTTCAAATTTAGTTACTAAAAGCACTAGGCCCCACCCTAGAATTATCCCTGTAAGGGGATCAACCTGGAGAATATACACTCAAGAACCTGTTCTGAAATTTGAAATGAAATATTCTCACCTTACCCCCAGATCAAACTTGTTTCGAAATCTATCTTTATGTTATAAAATATAGATGAAACTAATTAAAATCAGCCATTTGGGACAGTAAATGACTAAAGCCATAAAATCATTGACAATGAAAAGTTTGCAAGATTATATACAAAGCATGGTGAGTCTTACCTGAAACATGTCTATTTTATTTTGTTAGCTGACTTTGGGTTAGCCAAACAGAAGAGAAGTGACTGCAGCAAGATGACATCAGTTGTGGGGACAATACTATATTCATGGTGAGTTGTTTGACATCTGTTGTGGGGACAATACTATATTCATGGTGAATTGGTTGACATCAGTTGTGAGGACAATACTATATTCATGGTGAGTTGGTTGACATCAGTCATAGAAAAGCTGAAAGGCCTATATTCATAGTGTGTTGGTTGAGATCAGTTGTGGGGACAATAGTATGTTCATGGTGAGTTGGTTGACATCAGTTGTGGGGACAATAGTATGTTCATGGTGAGTTGGTTGACATCAGTTGTGGGGACAATAGTATGTTCATGGTGAGTTGGTTGACATCAGTTGTGGGGAATACTATTGAGTCCGGAGTTTTCATTTTCCTAAGATAGAAAAATATAGCACATACTTTCCCATTATTGTTATTCTATTACATAAACTCTTGATCAACATGGTTACAACATTCATATTTGGACATTGTGTAATTCAGGGAAATTAAACTATCAAATGTTCACTTTTGGATTTTTTCTTATCAGCTGTTGTAAAAATTAATTGAGGTTCCGATGACTGTTTGATGTGGTGATTTGTTGCAGCCTGTAGGTAATAATGTTTTATATAATAATATGTTAGGACATCAGGAAAGCTAAACTCAGGACCTGTTTAGGAATCTATGTTACCAGCTGTTAGTTAGATGAAGCTATGACACTTTGACTCTGACTTTGACTTTGTTTTGTTACAACACAGATACTGAAATGTTCAAGTTTGAACATCTGGGGAACTAACTCGGATACCAGTTTCAAAATTTTATCTCATCATCTCAGTTATTTAGGTTAGATAAAGTTCTGATGACACGTTGATCTGGTGTTTTATTTCAGCCCTGAAGCACTGATATTCATATTTAGACATCTGGGGAATAGTGAGTTAGTGTGTATGGTTTTACGCCACTTTTAGCAATATTCCAGCAATATCATGGCGGAGGACACAAGAAATGGGCTTCACAAATTATACCCATTTTGGGAATCAAACCCGGGTCTGTGGCTTGACGAGCGATGCTTTAACCACTAGGCTACCCTACAGCCCCCATCTTGGGAATAAAATTCAAAGTACAAGTTTCAGAACTTAATCTCATCAGCTGATGTTGACTTTGTTGTGACATGTTTTGTTGGTATTGCAGCCCGGAGATAGTTCAGAACCAGCCGTACGGGGAGAAGGCGGACATGTGGGCCCTGGGATGTATCTTGTACCAGATGTGTACACTCAACCCACCTTTCTTCAGCAACAACATGCTCACCCTCGCCACAAAGGTAGGAGGGACGCTGGGGGAATGTTCTTTTATGCCCCCAAAGTGTGCATGATAATACTAGTCCATTTGGATGACTTTTTCCATGCTGAATATCAAGCGCATTATTACCCTGGTCCATGGATCAATGTGCACTCGATTTTCATTCTCTGCTCCCTGGGGATTATACAACCCAAGCTGCCTGTGAGGGATAGGCTGGGAATAGCTTGAATTACATTAAGTAATACGTTACCACTGTTATACCGAGGCTGTTGTCTCCCACAACTGCTGCTATAGCGAAATCTACCACAGAGATTTCAATTACCTCATGCAGCACGTGCGTAGCCACCTAGCTGCCATGTGACACCCTTCACTTTTGTCTCCTTCGTCTGCGTAGCAAGACGTGTATACCTGCTGCTGAAGCGTTCCTTGAATATTTGGTGATATTTATTATAGTTTATTCTCTAATAAACTGTGCTTTTATGGGGCTTTTATTCCGAATAGGAAAATTCTACAAATTTGTCAATTGAGCTTTGAAAAAGCCTTAAATTTGAATCTACCTTGAACAGGTCTGTTAAACAGTCCTTCAAATGGCCATTTATTAGAAATGAATTGGTGTAGAGTAATGGAGGATGACCTAGAAGCTTTAGAACAGTAAGAAATCTCAGCTAAGATTCCTTCAATTCCCTAAGGTTAGCAGTAGAATGAACAGTCTCAAACAAAAGAAAGAGTAATCTTGTTTATTTCAGTCATAACTTTGTGAAATGTTTGTTTCAAGATCGTGGAGGCGGACTATACACCCATTCCAGAGGAAGACTACTCAGAGAGGCTGAGGTCTACCATCAGGAGGTGAGTTGTCAGGAGCTTTTACACCCTGTATCACGTGCCTGGAGTCAGCCCTGGCCTAACATTAGCCCTCTATTCCAGCTTTATCACAGCATGCCCCGAGTCACGGCCTGTGTTTAAGTTTGGACATCTATTACAGCTGTATCACAGCGTGCCCCGAGTCAGGGCCTGTGTTTTACTTTGGACATCTAGTTACATCTGTATTGCCGTGTGCCCTGAATCACAGCCTGTGTTTTACTTTGGACATCTATTACATCTGTATCACAGCGTGCCCCGAGTCACGGCCTGTGTTTAAGTTTGGACATCTATTCCAGCTGTATCACCGCGTGCCCCGAGTCGCGGCCGGACATCCTGCAGCTAAGTGGGCAACTCGTGGACATCCTCCTGGTCAACATGGACACCCTGAGGATTCAGCAGGCAAGTCTGGAGAGGAAGCTCGACAGAGAGAGGAAGAGAACACAGAAGTAAGCAGACATGTTGATTTCAGGACCTCATAGTTGTTGCAAGAGTCAACTGAAATGATCAGGCACCTTTTTAAATTAACAGTTTATATATATTTTGGTGCTGGTTGATCTAGCGTGGATATTAACATCGAGTCTGGACCAGACTATCCAGTGATTGACATCATGAGCATCAATCCTTGCAGTTGGGATACTATGCATGCATCAACCAAGTCAGACCCTCGTCATATAGCTTGAGGGGCGGTCGGGTAGCCTACTGGTTAAAGCGTTCGCTCATCATGCTGAAGACCCGGGTTCGATTCCCGACATGGGTACAATGTGTGAAGCCCATCTCTGGTGATAGTACTGGTGTATTGTCACTCATGTATGTTATGACATATTTTAACATGGTTACAGTATCATGGAGAGTTAACCACTATTTAGCATACTTGGTAGATATGGTATTGGTAACAAACTCACATATGTTTTATGAATTACAGGCATTTCTTCGAGGCCAATAGGAACATGCAGAACTATCACAAGCTATTCCTTGCATCACAAGAGAGATATGACAAGCTGGCTAACCTGTCTGCTAGTGGAGGTGCTGCAGGGTTTAAGGTGAGATATGACAAGCTGGATAACCTGTCTGCTAGTGGAGATGCTGTAAGGTGAGATATGACAAGCTGGCTAGCCTGTCTGCTAGTGGAGGTGCTGCAGGGTTTAAGGTGAGATATGACAAGCTGGCTAACCTGTCTGCTGGTGGAGGTGCTGTAAGGTGAGATATGACAAACTGGCTAACCTGTCTGCTAGTGAGGGTGCTGTAAGGTGAGATATGACAAGCTGGATAACCTGTCTGCTAGTGGGGGTGCTGTAAGGTGAGATATGACAAGCTGGCTAACCTGTCTGCTAGTGGGGGTGCTGTAAGGTGAGATATGACAAGCTGGCTAACCTGTCTGCTAGTGGGGGTGCTGTAAGGTGAGATATGACAAACTGGCTAACCTGTCTGCTAGTGGGGGTGCTGTAAGGTGAGATATGACAAGCTGGCTAACCTGTCTGCTAGTGGAGGTGCTGTAAGGTGAGATATGACAAACTGGCTAACCTGTCTGCTAGTGGGGGTGCTGTAAGGTGAGATATGACAAACTGGCTCACCTGTCTGCTAGTGGAGGTACTGCAGGGTTTAAGGTGAGATATGACACGCTGGCTAACCTGTCTGCTGGTGGGGGTGCTGCAGAGATATGACAAGCTATCTGAACTTACTGCCAGTTGGGGGGTGCAGCAAGTTTTAAGGCGAAATATCACAAACGTGTTTATTTTACTGCCAGTAGGGTTAGCTTTGGGCTTTGTGTGCTCTGCTTTGTTCTAAATTGATGCCTGTGTCAGTTCTAGATTGATCACACAGGGTTATAACATGTTGACGGTTGGCTAGCAACTGTAACTGACAAATCCATCACAAGAAAGTATTTGATTTGTTAACGTACAGGGTAAGGTTACATTTCTTTCTATATTGCACTTTTAACATAGAATTAGGATTCAGTATAGGCGTTTGATAAGAGCTGCAAAGTGTATCCAAATACATGTACTTGTGTATTAAACCTCTGCATTAAAACAGACTTGTGGCTTCGTTAATTCTACAGTTAGTGTTTCTAATGTAATCTACACACATTCTTTTCATCTTGCCAGGACTCTGAGAGCAGTGATGGTGTGTTCCTGGATGGGATGGAGTCTCGAAAGGAGAAAGTGAGCTCCTCATCTTCCAGCACTGACCACCAGGACACAGAGCAGGAGACGGTGGAGCAAGGTAGGCCCCTCATCCGGGAGTAGGCCACCAGTAGGCAATCATCCAGAGTAGGCCGCTCACCCCACAGAAGGCCCCCCACCTAGAGAAGGTCACCCACCCAGAGAAGGTCACCCACCCAGAGAAGGCCACCCACCCAGAGAAGGTCACCCACCCAGAGAAGGTCACCCATCCAGAGAAGGCCACATTATGCAATCATCAAGTCAAGAGTAGGCCATCCCTACTAGGCCACCCACCCAACAGTAGGCCACTCACCCCACAAAAGGCCACCCACCCCACAGAATGCCACCAACCCCACAAAAGGCCACCCACCCCACAGAAGGCAACCCACCCAGAGCAGGTCATCAGTAGGTAATCATCAAGAGTGGGCCACTCACCCAGTAGGCAGCTCTCCCCATAGAAGGCCACCCATCCCACAGTAGGCCACTCACCCAGTAGTAGTAACTGATTATTTTCAGTTTTAGCATTTCTATCAAAATAAATGTAAGATTGATTTTTTTTATCTGCTTCACAGGTTGGACGAGTGATGATGAGAGCTGCCCCAGTAGTGGCAGTGAGAGTCGAGAGAGCAGCGCAGGCAGCACACGGTCACGGGGGCGTGTCAACTCCCGTAAAACCTCATCTGTGCCACAACCACCTACCCCCAGCACACCCAAACTTTTCCGAGATGCACGACGCAGGGCAGCAAAACGAGATCCATTCTCATTGCTTACTCTTGAAATTCCAAACCAATGTAAGACTTCTTTAGTCTTTGATAACCAGGTCAAATAATAATGGGGGCAGTCGGGTAGCCTAGTGGTTAAAGCGTCCGCTCGTCACGCCAGATTTGTTCGATTCCCGACATGGGTACAATGTGTGAAGCCCATTTCTGGTGTCCCCAGCTGTGATATTGCTGGAATATTGCTAAAAGCGGCGTGAAACCATACTAACTCACTCACTCAAATAATAATGCTGTATTATCATTTAGTGTTTGGGTAAAAAAAGTTCAGTTTTGACTCATTTTTCAATTATTATTATATTGCACATTTTGAAAAACAACTGGTATCATTAACATGATTATTTTATTATTAAATTTGTATTGAGATAGATTATATTTCCCACATGTCTGTTTCCTTCATATTAACATTTTCAAAATATTAAACAGGTATTTTTTATTCTACCATGTTACAGCCAAGGCAAGTCGCGATTCTGGTCTCAGTTCCGGAGACCCATCCCCCAATAACAGCCACTCCTCTATCACTGCCCCAATTGAGCACTCCCTTGTAGGAAGGGGAGATAACAAGCCTAACTTCCGACGATCTCAGAGCTCTAATGATACTGTGTTAGCTCATGCTTCTCGTAAGCTCGAAACCCGGTCTCGTAAGTATCTTGTTTTTATTTTACATGATGAAAATATTACTAAAAATATCCTGTAAAATGTAAAGTGTTCATGTTTCAGAAAGTTAGATATTTTGTAAAATCTATTGTAATTTACTTTTTATTGTGGAATGCATCCCTTTCATGTACTCCCTCACCAAGTGAATCTAAAGCATTAGCTATTTAATAATGACAGAAACAAGGTAATGGCTGCAAAGGAATATATATATTTTTTAAAACTTTTCCAATTGTCTAGGCACAGATGACTCAGTTGTCTTAATGTGCCACTTTTTTTCTGTGCAGAGTTGCATCCCTTAGGAAACCTCTAATTGTAGGTTCAAATCCCGGTTCACTCGATTAAGTTTCTAGGTTTGTCAGCACCATACCCGCCGTGCACATGGGTTTCCCAAAGTGGTAAACATCAGACCTGCATCACTTCAGGCTTACAATTAAGCTGACACGCCATGATATAACTGGAATATTGTTAAAAGCAGCGTTAAGACCAACTCATTCACTCACTCACTTACTGTACACCACATATCAACTTTGATCTGTTACAGGAAGTGCTGCCACTCTGGCAATATCTCCGAACCGCCTGCGAGAAATCAGTGACCCCATTATACAGATGCTGCACCAGCTTCATAAGATCATCTATGTCACTCAGGTAAGCCTTTCCTGAACAGGTGGAGCAGTTGGGTAGCATCCCTCGTCACGTAGCCTGGGTTCAATTCTCAACATGTGTGAAGCCTATTTCGTATCCCATATTCACCCTTATTGCCTTTCTTGGTTTGTCCTTAGACCTGCATCTCTTCAGGCTTTCCTCAGACATGAAGCTGTCATGCTGTGATATAACTGAAATACTGTTCGCAGTAGCATGATATATGACTCACTGACTCACTTAAACATTGTCACTAATTACATTATTGTTCATGTTTTGACAACCATTGTCCTCGCCCACTCACCTTCGAAGACCTTTTGGACCCTTGCAGCACAAGCATTCCAGGCTAGAAACTTGAAGTATCAGCAATTATTTCAACTATTATTTTGGCTCATTGTGTTTCAGATGCCTCCCACATTGTGTCCCAACAGCAAGAGGAGAATGATTGAACAGTTCAAGCGAGCACTCTTTTCTCCAAACAGCACTTCCATGAATCTCAAGAATGAGCTCAGGAAGGTAGGTCAGACTTGTCTCCCTTGGAAGAGGGGTTGGCCAGATTTGTCTACCTTGTGGGGGGAGAGTTTGGCCAGATTTGTCTCCCTTGGGGGAGGAGGGGTTGGCCAGATTTGTCTCCCTTTGGGGGAGGGTTTGGCCAGATTTGTCTCCCTTGGGGGGAGGGGTTGGCCAGATTTGCTTCCCTTGTTGGGTGGCATTGGTCAGACTACTTTCGAAGAGGCTTGGTCAGACAAGTCTTCCTCATTGATGGGCAGGTCAGATCTGCCTCACTTGGTGGAGTAGGCCAGATTTATCTCCCTTGTTTGATGGTAGGTAAGAGTTGTTTCCAATGATGGAGAGGTTGGTCAGAGTTATCCCCCTTGTCGAAGCTGAGGTCAGACTTGTCCAGATAACATGGATTGTTTCTTCTTCCTTAAATGACTGACATTCCTGACTTAGACTTAACAACAGGCTGATCTGATGTAACTTGAATATTGCTTACTGTGACATAAATCAAAATTCACTCACCCAATGTCAAGGTCCAAATTGTAACTTGACATGTATTCACAATTTTGTTGAAATGAGATATATTCTTATCTCTCTTTTGCCAAATACATTTTATGTCTTGGAATGAGAACACAAAACACAACCAATAAGCAACATAAACAAATGATGCATATATCATCACATTCATCAAGACTAGGTATATATGTTTTATAAACAGAAGACATCAGGGATCAAAATACGTGCATAGACATCTGACTTCCAGCCATGAATATCTACAACTAATTGTAACAAATGTTATATTTGGGATAACACTTTCTTAGTAAAGTACAGATTCTCATACTTTTTTGTACTTTTTACACTTGTCAGAGGAGTACTCAGAGTGTGTGATCTAGACTACCAGTTGTCAGACTTTCAATTTTGTGGAAGCCTCGGTGGCTGAATGGGTTAGATTGCTGACTTTGTGTGCTGGTGATTAGGTGCCTCACTCTGAAAGTGTGGGTTCGACTCTTGGATGGGACTCAACCCCAAAAAGTATAAGAATCTGTCCTTTACTAAGAAAGTGTTTCCCCAATTATAACATTTGTTACATTTGACCACTTTCTAAATGGCTTTGTGTATTCATACATCTAATTGAATATTTCAGCTGTTGCAGGGGTCACGTGATGTTATAGACTTGAATCTGGGCGTGCCGGACACCCCCAGAAAGCAGACATTCTCCTTGGCCGATCAGGAGATGTTCTCCTTCAGCACAGAGAAGCTGGGTGAGATAACTGGACATAATTTAGTGAGAACTGGGGACAGTGTGTTACATCTTGGCAACATTCTGTCATAACTGGATAAATGTTTGATAACCCCTTCAGTGCCCAGAAGTTGGGTGAGATAACTGGAGTGGGTGTGAGATAACTAGGCAGGATTGTGATAACTGGACAGGGTTTGCTGTGTGATAACTTGGCAGAGGGTTAGATAACTGGGGCTGTGTGATAACAAGGAGGGTATATGTTTGTTTGTTTGTTGTTTAACACTGTACTTGGCGATATTGCAGCTATATGACAGTGGTCTGTAAATAATCGAGTCTGGACCAGACAATCCAGTGATTGACACTTTGAGCATCAATCGGTGCAGTAGGGATACAATGACATGCATCAACCAAATCAGATAAGGATAAATGAACAGGGTGTGTAATAATTTCGACAGGATGTGTGATAACTGGACATAGCATATGATGACTGGACAGGGCTGTGTGATAACATAAGGGTGTTATGTAACAAGGCTGTGTGAAGTATGGATAGGATGGGTAATAACCTAAAAGGATGTGTGATATGGGACAAACTAATTGGCACGATTTCCATCAATCCAGATTTTTAAAAGTTACTTGTTTTGATTAATTCTATGCAAGAGAACATTTATTTTGAGGTGTTTCATATACTGGGTCAACTGATGAAGACAAGTACTCAAGGAGTTCTAAATATGTATATTTTTTGGCAGCGGCTCGGAGCTACAATCCAGACTTTCGTGATGTTGGAATTACCTACGAACAGATGCAAAATATGATAGATGATACGCTTGTGGATTGTGGGTACTACAGTGTGTCAGCAAGGCAACGGCAGAAGACCCCACCTCTTACATCTGTCCATGATGTTTTCCGAAGCAGAATGGACTCATTTGGGTCATGAAATGGCACTCGGTGTCTAATCCAGTGGGCTGCAATCTGTTGATGCTGAAAAAATTCTTTATTCTTTGTTTTTATGCTTGGTTTATTACTTTGTAATATAATTACTCAAAGTATTGTTAAGTGCTTTCAAACAGGGATGTTGAACAGATGATCTAAAATATGATGAGCATGATATGATAAAAATAAAAGAATTGGTTCTCAGGCAATGACTTTTGAAAATATAGTGTGGGTGGGCGGTATTTTTTGTTTTTTTTCTTTGCTTGTTCAAACCAAGTAAACAGTTGTGTACCATCAACCTGGGACAGGGCCTCCCAACATAAACAAGCATACAAACTCCTATTGCCGACATGACCGTAACACAAGATGTGCAGTAAAGCAGTGTGCATGTAAAGGGAAGTAACTGCATGCTTTATTGGATCGCATTGTTTTCAAGCATTAGAATTTTTTATTTATTTTTTAAAAAGGAAATAAGAACGAAAGGTGCGGCAGACTTTATGATGATGAGGGTGGTGCCTGAGAACCAAGACTATTATTTGTTTACCTGTAGCCTAAAAGACAGACTTGAATTAACGAGTTATTCAAGTGATTCAAGACAACAGTGATAAACTGTTACATATGAAATATCATCTCCTTTCACTAGTTCTTTAATGCAATAATTGCATTGTAGATACACAAGAACGTGCACAGCAATATTTGGAAGGTATTTTTCTAGATGTGTTGTAACTGTTGTTTATTCATCCCAGGCATTATGAATGTTGTCGACAGTATTACCATGGTTACGATCGATAGATATTGTCCAGGCCCCGCCTGCACAAAGCAATCTTAGCTCTGTGATGATAACTCCCATACTCTATCAAAGACTTACAACAGTCTTAGTGCTAAGATTGTTTTGTGTAAGTGGTTCCTGGTGTTATTAGATGGTGTGACCATAAGTATTAGAACTGGTCACTTATAATGTTACGACCTATCAGAACTCAATAGCATATCATAGGTTACGGGGGCCTAAGTATATTTTTTAAAACAAATGGGGCTGTCGGGTAGCCTAGTGGTTAAAGCGTTTGATCGTCACGCCGAAGACCCGGGTTCGAATCCCGACATGGGTACAATGTGTTAAGCCCATTTCTGGTGTCCCCCGCCGTGATATTGCTGGAATATTGCTAAAAGCAGTGTAAAACTTAACTCACTTTTCAGTAAAGCAGGCCCCTATTTCTTTGTTCAAGAAAACATCACGTCCCCTCCCCCTGATAATCAAATGGTTGCTTCCTTAGTCCTGAAACCACACCTTCCACACTGTCTTGTTCTGAACATCAACGTATGCCCATGATTTGCTAATTCAGAAATTTGTTTTTCCTGATTATTTCATGTGTAACGGATCCGTCCAGATCAACAAGTTCCATATATCTATATGTATTTTTTGTATCCTTAAACATGTTAAATGCTTGACCCAATGATATTTTGCCCTTTCTGTAATATTCAATTGCCAAAATAGTTATCATTAAGAAAAATCCTAGAATGCTGTTGATATCCGTTTCGCTGTCTGGTCTATTTGCACCTTGCTTGTACCATGTTTGGGTGAGCCATAGTTTCCTTTTCCTTAATGGGGGCACAGGTGGTCCAGTAGTCTAAGACATCCTTTATACTAGCCATGCCATTTTCAGAGATGCCACCCATTGCCGGTTCCATGTTCATGCATGTTGTCGTTCCCTGAAAGTGATGTAATTTTGGACAACATCTATGACCTGCATCACGTTCTTCTCTGCTCCTTGAGGGCGGTGGGGTAGCCTAGTGGTTAAAACGTTGGCCGAAGACCGGGTTCGACTCCCCACATGGGTACAATGTGTGAAGCCCATTTTCCGGTGTCCCCCGCCGTGATATTGCTGGAATATTGTTAAAAGCGGCGTAAAACCATCACTCACTCACTCACTCACTCACTCACTCACCCACTCTCTCTCTCTCTCTCACTCACTCTGTCTCTACCCCACCATAACAAGTGACTGTTTCATTATGATAGTGCACCTTAGTATTTGGTTCCATACTGCCAGCTGATATTATAATTAAGTTGTGGGATGAGTTAGAAGCAAGAAGTAGTCATTCGTCATTCCATATCCATAGAGCAGCTGATGTTTTAACAGAACGTCCAGTTTGTATTTAAACATATCATTTTATAGGTTTTTGGTGCAGTTACCTTTGAGAGGACAGCCAGACTGTAAATACATGAACCAAATTTACACCTACTTTTTCACAGTTGGTATTAAACATGTCTTCCGTGTTATAAAGAGACTGTGAGCAGGTAAAGATTTATGAAATCTTTCAAAATATGACCACCTTGATATTTTCTGAATCATAAGTGATTACTTCTTTAAGTGGCATTTAGAAGTTAGTAAAGATCCATAGAACTTGTCTTACTTAAATGATTACCCTATACATATATTTCTTGCTTGAAACAGGGCCAGTGTTAAGAAGGTTGCAAAACTGATCCCCATAACCTCATCCTGGACTGGCTGTCCCCTGAAACACATGCATGCATTACTGGGACTATGAAACCAAGACATTTAATCCAAGTTTTCCCTGAAAAGTTTATGTATAATGTATATTTAAGGCATAACATTTGAACATTCCTTGCAACACCAAACATTGCAATTGTTTCCCCTGTTTCCTCCCTCGATGGTAATCAGAGCTTTAAAGTATCAAGTGGTGAGTCACATTACCATGGAGATAGAATGGCTTCTCATGTTACCATGGAGATGATTAAAATCAGATGTTTAACTCTGATTTAATTCCTCTCTGCATGAAGACGTGAGTTAATCTCCATTGGAGGTTTCCTGTCAGACCATTAACAAAGATTTCCATCCTTTATCGTAAACAGAACATTCTAGGTATTGTATATATGTAGTTTTACAGCCCTTGTATAGGATATCAGCAGGGTAAGCAGTGTGATACGGTCGTATTACATCCCTAGGGTCCTCTCAACTGAACAGAGTTCAAACTTTGGCCTGTGAACCCACCAATCAGCTGCTTCTGCAGCATTGTTACCTTTTAAGTGGTTGCTTATATCAGTGTTTTCAATTGTTTGTCATAGGAAGAGTCTGGGTTTCTTCTGTTGGCCCAGGTATGACAAGGAGTCCTTTACTTGACCTAGTTAATCAATCTATCACCATGCCAGTCCTGGGAGAATTAGTCATCAAAATACATGTTGTATTCCTGGAGATATTGATGTATTACACACTAAAAGTGAGGATGTCCGTTCTGCGCACCAATCCAGGGAAAATTAGTCAATTTCATATATGTTGTATTCCTGGCAATACTGATGTATTACACTACAAGAGAAGATGTCCGTCCATGCCGCATCAATCCGGGGAGATATGTCGTCCACATACATGTTATGTTCCCGGAGATATTGATGCATTACCAGTACACACTAAAAGTGAGAATGTCCGTCCATGCCCACACTTAGATTCGCCTCTCTCTTGCTCAATACTATTTTTGCGAAAGATGTGATAACTGAAGTAGATCATGATATTGATAGTTCATCTCGATACAAGTCTTGGTCTTCAGCCACTCGTCTAGAAGCCAAAAAACTTCTAAGACTCTAAACACACAGACTGCAATTGCACATATATTGAACAACAGTTGTCTCAGATGTATTGAAGTCTGACATCACCAAATGTCAGCAGGCAACTCAAGACACGTTCCACAACTCAATGTTAGTCTCGTACGTCAGTTTGTATCACTATTGTTGTGGAACAATGCCCAGAGTGATGAAGTTCATGCCAGTAGCATATGTTTCATCCCAAGTTGACCGTGCCAACCCCCATATGGTAAGCCAGATTTAGTATGCTGGCTACCTTGAAATGTTTTCTCATATGTCGATGCCAATATTTCAATGTTTGTGTTTTTGTCTCTTGCAAAGAGAGACTAATCAACCAAATGTACTGATGGAAATAATAAGGGAACATTTAGTTTTAGACACTTTAAAGTGATATGTTATCACGGGTTCCCAGCCTTGTCAACCAAATACATGTTGGAAACAATGCACACAAGCGCATCTCAACATTGGATTCTGACTTGTTGAATTTGTATGCACACTATTTCAAATGTACTGACAGTACAGGGGCTGTCGGGTAGCCTAGTGGTTAAAGAGTTCGCTCGTCACGCCGAAGACCCGGGTTCGATTCCCGACATGGGTACAATGTGTGAAGCCCATTTCTGATGTCCCCCGCCGTGATATTGCTGTAATATTGCTAAAAGCGGCGTAAAACCAAACTCACTCACTCACTGACAGTATAGCTTATTTCCCTATACTTTTCATTGTTCCCTTTTCCGTTTCCATCAGCATACTTAGCCCGAAACTTATGAGCTTGCATTGTCATGCATTCATGTGAATATCCCAGTCTAATTTACTTGTACCAGCCGTGTACACTGATAGGAGTTGTTAAATTGGATAACAAGACAAACTAAGTGGTATGCCGGATGCCTAGGGGAGGTCAGCACCCACCTAGCTGATGATCAAGAAGAAATATACTGAACAAATAAGTGAGGGATGATGAATATTTTGGAGATTTGGGTTTTTTTATTCGTGAAGACTCAACACACAATTTCATAAAAATATCTCCCAAAATAATCATGATCCCTCACTTTTTTTGTTCAGTATAGTTTTAGGCAGCAGTCAAACATTTTGATTTCAGGTAATAATCATAATTCCTTAAGTTAAGGGATCAGGGTTAACAGGTCTTCGTGTACATTTCAAGTCCATAAATAATTACTCTAATTGTCATATTATTACTCTGAATTGTCATATTATTACTCTGAAGTAAACACCATTACTATCATAAGTAACACAACATGGCATTCAGGACAGATTGTGCGTGCTTCTCTTGCACGGCATGTTGACTGTTTTGTTGACATATACACTGATTGGTATGATTCTTCCTGAAAGTCATGATGTCATCATTTTCACTTAAACCCCTTAAGTTTCTCAGGTTGGTGTCTTGGGTGTAGCTAAGAATTAAAGCTCAATAAAGGCAAAGTAACCACATCCTTCAGAGTAATATCTACTCCCCATCCATAATTATCCATCATCAGTTGAACGCAAGTATCAATAAAGTTAATATATCTCCACAAGGCCACAATCCACCCGACCTGGCAAAACAGCTCACACTTGTAGTCTTGATTTGTTTTTATATACATGCTGCATATAATGTAGGGAGTATAGTAATCACTGGTGCGATCAATTTAATGTCCCGAGGAAAAAAGCCCCGCGCCCTATGAAGCCAATTTAAGGCCTGGGCACCGTTCC